AGCATCTGGAAGGCCTTTAAAAGCTAGAGATGCGGGCCTCCCCGATTCTTAGTGTGTTGTGAAAGCCCCCCCTCCCCCCACCCCCCGGCCAGGCTAGAGACCCGCTACTCTGAATGGAGGCCCTGCTGTGGGTCTCCGTGAGACATGGTCCCAAGAAGGAGAGTCACTGCCGGATCGTCGGCAGGGCCTTCCTTCCCACAAGGAAGCAGAGTGATGGACTTGTGCAGATGTGCAGCACCTTTGAACTTTTTAAAATTTTTGAGAGCCTTTCAACCAAAGGTTCTTGCCCTTGGCTGTATATTGGGATCACCCAGGAAGCAGTTAAAAGTCCCACTGCCCAGGGTGCAGCCCAAACCAGCTAAATCAGATTCTCTGCGGGGTGGGACCCAGGCCTCAGGCTTTACCAAGCTTCCCCGGGTGGTCCAGGGAGCGACAGGGGTGGGGACCAGCACGGGAGACAGAGCAGGGTGCTCTTAGGGGCTATCACCCGGCCCCCTCCGCTGGTTCATTACACTTCTGTAGGCATTTGAGTTTGTGTACCTCCCCCTCCCTCCCCCCGCCCCAGGTTGGAGGGTCGCCTGAGGAGAGGCAGCTACGTGTGCAGGTGACTCCCAGCTCTGGCTCTCAGGAACCACCTCAGGACATCCTGACCAGCAGCAGCTGATGCTCCATCTTCTTTGGGGCAGACTCTGCACTAGCCCTTAAGTGGGACATGGGGCTCAGTCCCTGCCCAGAAGAATTTGTCACCCAGCAAGAGAAGTAAGATGTGCATATCAAAATAACTGCTCCGTGGAGGCAGAAACCCGTGCGTGCCACGGAAGCAGTCAGAAGGAGGTCCTAGGAACCTTAGTGTCCTAGGAGTCTCAAAAAAATCTAAAGTGCCATTGACTTCTAATTTGCCATCAAGTTTCTCACAGCTCGGAGAAGTCCAGAAAAGCATCTCATTCACGGTCAGTGGGATGGTGACAGCTTTTACTTAGATGAGTTACGAACCCCAGAGGTGTGGTCGTGCCAACCCCAGAGACACCGCTTTCCAGGGACGGAGACTTGGGTTTGTCATCCTTTTACATCAGGAAGACCAGTTCATACAGGGTCAGAGGTGAGGGGACCATAGAGGTCCTCTGGCCTCACATCCCTACAGCAGACAACGAGCTTGTTACTCAGGGTCCAGAGCAGGGAAGCATCATGCCCAAGTTACACAGCAAGGCCTGGGCAACGGGATAGAGGCTGGCCTTTGAGCACGGTGATCCTTCTGTTCTCCCATCTGAGGGCCAGAGGAGCTGCAGACTAGCGAGACTGGGTCTTTGGGTTTGACTGCCATTAAATAAGGCATGGCACCTGCTCGTGCCTGGAGTTCTAGCATCAGCATTATTCTCTTGTTCTCAGGCACCCTCTTTCTGCATGCAGCGTTCTCGAACAGGAGGAGCAGACCTCATTCCTAACACCCAAGTTCCCAGGTGGGCAACCTGAGTCCCCAGGCCCTGAGATTTTATCAGCAAAACATTTTTCTCTTTGCTGCCTCAGTTACTACTAAGAAACAGGGAGTATTAGACAGGAGGGTCATGCCAGCTGGCTTGGCCCAGTCGTTGTTAGAGCTGAACAGAATACGTACTCAGATCTTGAGCTAGGGAACTTTAGCTCCACTAAAATGACATTAGGAGGCTGAGACAGTATGAAGGATTACAGGCCACTGTTATGGGTAAAAAATTCCAGCCTCCTGTGTGCTTATGATTATCTGACCTTGTGACCCCTCATGGGGAAAGCGGGAGAGTCCTGTCTTAAAGGCAGAGTTGATGACTGGACAGGCCTCATCAAAATGACACCTAACGTTCATTTATGCTTACTCCCTGGCAGGAATTCATCTGAGCATTTTGTGTGTATTAATCCTGCACTAATATCATCGCCTCCTTTACAGATGGGGACATCAAGGCACAGAAAGGTTAAGCAACTTGCCCAAAGTCACACAGCTAGTAAATGGCTGAGCCAGGATTTGAACCCAAGATTTGTGCTCACCTGTCTCATAAGAGCCTCTGCCCACATTCCCAGCAGCAGAGAGGAAATGGTCATCTATTCTGGGCAGTGAGTGGGGTGCTAGGACAGCCATGGGCACTCAGGGGCCAGGGGCTCTGCCATGTATCTCTGCTTGGGCCTCAGCCCCAGCAAGAAGCCTGAGCCCTGTCAGACCTTCTGCCTAATCCCTCCAAGGTCTTCTCCTGAGTACCCCCAACCGGGGCAGTTCTCTCCTCGGCAGCCCGGACCCCCTCTCCCTTCAAAAATAAAATGAGAGGTTTCCCGGACAGTGAGACCGCCATAGATGACCCCTGGCTCCTCGGAGCCTGGGGAGAAATGCTGAAAACAGGACCACTAGGCAAGTCTGGAAGGCTTCTTCTCCCTGCACCCCCAGCTCTTCCAGGTCCAGGTCCAGGTCCAGCCCAGGAGGGCTCATCTCCACCACGGTCCCTGGGGTGGGGTCTCCTGCTGTCCTAGAGACAGGCTGTTCTCCGTCAGGACTCCATCCTAGCTTTAGGCCAGGGTCACTGTGCTGCTTTGGCCTCTGACAGCCCCTGGCTGGGCAACCTCACCTCACCACACACACATGCATGCACACACCCCCCTTTCTTGGATCTGTGTTAGCCCCTGGGGGTCCCCTGGTAATAGTGTCGGGCTTATCCGCCAGGTCATCTGAAGAATATATGTGGGGTGAGCAGTGCAGCTGAACGGCCTAAGAGGACGGGAGGGGGATGGCAGGGAGCTGGGGAAGCGGTCTGGGACAGATTCCCACCGAGGCTGGGCTGGGCCATGGGGCTGTGGTCCTGGTGTTTCAGATGCAGTCACTGTGAGGGCTGTGGGCTCCCTGCTCTGGGGTGGGGGACAGACTGAGCTCTTCTCCCCCGGCCTCTTCTCAGACCTGTCAGTCTGCTCAACCCTGCTTGATGGTTGAGACGAAATTCCAGCCCTTAGCGGTGTCTGATGCTCAGTCTCCAGCAGAAACCTTTATCTGAGATTAAGGATAATGGATTTCGTTTCTTGGATCAGTTTTTTTTTTTTTCCTTCCTCTTTCTCTAGGACTTTTTTTTTTTTTTTTTTTGTCAAAAATGAGCTTGACTCCAGAAAAAAGACCTTTTTTTAAATTTTTTTTTTTCTTAACCCCCCCTCCCCCCTGTTCCCCCCCCCTTCCCCCCCCCCCCCCCCACACCTTTTCATGCTTCCAAGGAAACCCTCCGTTTCAAGTACGGGTGAGGAGTGCAAAAGAATAACTTGACCTTCCTTCTCTCCCCGTCTGCTTCTCCTTCAGGGTCCCCTGAGCTCTGCTGCATGTGCCTGCAGAGGGGGGCCTGGTGTGCGGAGGTTGGGACAGGGAGAAATAACTTGACTTCTTCCTTATTTTCCTTCAGCACTTTCTGCCACCACCCAGATTTCCAGAAACCTAGATCCTGCTTGGAAGAAACGGGGAGGGGACTTGGTGGGGGAGTGCCTTCGTGGGTCTCAGGCAGCACGGGTCCCTGGCAGCCTCTGCGGGGGAGGGAGCGGTCTCCTGGCACATGGGGGGTCTTCATGGGAGCTCGGAGACCCATTCCAGCAGCCAGGGATGACCTTGTACCCTTATTTCACCTGGATCTTTCTTTTTCCCCCTTCAACAGCCCTATTACCATATTTAAATGCAAGTATGTCTTTTTTCATTGACATTTTAAGTAGCTTAGCCTGACCTTTTTAGAGTAGCTTGTTCCTTTTTTGAACTTCTTTTCCTCCCCAGTAGTTCCGTAGCTAGGACAATAGTCTTAGAGTTTAGTGGGCTTCTAGTTCGCTGTGTTTGGGGGATGGCTCTCTTTCCTTTCTTCCCTCCCCCTGCTCCCTGCCCCCACGCCGCGGTGCATGTGTCCCCCACTCGGTCCTCTGGCAGGTCCCTAGTTGGAAGGCCCAGTGGCTACAGCTGAGCAGCTGTCTGGCTGCCCGTTGTTTGCTGCTGGCTTCTGGCGCATCGTTTAAAACCAGAGCGTTTGGAAATGGGTCTTGAAATCAGGCCTCGAGAATTCTGCCTGGATGGCAGACGGTGATTGTTCCACGTGTGTGTGAGTGTGTCTGTGTGTGTCCCCGTGCGTGACTGTGTGTGCATTATACTAGTGGCCAAGAGAAGCCCAGGGGAGGGGACTCGCCCACCTCCTTCCCCTGGACATTCTGCAGCCACACTGGGTCAGTTTGTCCCTTCTGACCTTCAGTCCCATTTCTGGGACAGCCTTGCTGCCCGGGGTGTTATTAGATGGACAAACACTTGATGGAGATCCCTAGGAGACCCTTCACTGCCGACTTGATCAGCATGTGGAGCTCAGAAGAGCCAGATCAAAATCCCCATAATGTGCCTCAGGAGGTTGAAACAGACAAAGCCACGGGGCTCACCCCACATTGGTCCCTACGGCTGCCCGCTCCCTCCCCTAGCTGCCTTCATGCGTACGCAGGCGGTCAGCCGGGCCTCCCAGCACACCTCGTCCTCCGGCCTGGGGCTGGGGTGCTGTTAGCGCTAGGCTTTCCAGAGTCCGGACCAGCAGAGCCTTAGGAGAGCAGCTGGAGTTCAGCCAACTCCTTGCCCAGGTGCCTGTGCCACCCAGAGGCTTGGGGCCACCTGCTCCGGGGGTTGCTGGGCCATGCTTGGCGCTGCCCTGGACACACCCTGGGGGACCCCCTTGGTCATGGCAAGGACAGCAGGGACCCCGCCCTGCTCCTAAGAGAAGATCCTCTTCATCCTCTGAGGTTATTTCGGTGTGCCTTCTAGGACTAGTTTCTGGGGTGACACATGTGGAGGAATCAAACACACCTAAAGGTGCTATGCCTTCCAGAAGCCTGAGAGCCACTGACCTGAGTCCCTCCTAAAGGCCGCCCCGCGGAGATCCCTTCTCGCTCCCATCCTCTGGAGGCGGGGTGGAGCGCGGCCTGTGAGCCCCGGGCTGTGCTGGGGGGCCCCTGCCAGGGTCCGACCCTCACTCCAACTCCTCTCTCCCCGCCAGGCTTCCCGGCAGCAGCTTACGGACCAGTGGCGGCGGCAGCGGTGGCAGCGGCAAGAGGCTCAGGTAGGGAGGTGTGCGGGACAGGCGCTCCCAGGCATGCCCCAGTGTGCGGGGGAAGGTAAAGGCCCTGTTGGATCTGTGTGGCTGCGTCTGTCCCCTATTGTCACCACAGCCCAGAGGGTGGGGACGGGGGGGGGGGGGGGGGGGCGCGGGCGAGGCCCTGCCCCCCGGGGCAGCTCCCAGTGGGGGTCAGTCGCGGGACTGCAGACCAAAGGTAGACTCTTACTCTCCTTGGAAAAAGAGCAGTGACCTTCTTTTTGACTTTGGACAGCCCCCTCACCTGACAGCCGGCCTCAGGGCACCTGCCGCATTTCCCTCCTCGGCTTTCACTGCTTCACGAGGCTCCCTTCCTTGGGCCTCTGACCTAGCCAGAGAAGTTCCAGGTAGTGAGAGGGAAGCTCCTGGCCTCCAGGCCCCTGTTGCACCTGCCAGGTGGCCTTGCTGATTCAGCTCAAACCCCGGTCCCCGGAGGCCGGAAGTGGGGCCAGTCCCGACCTCCATGAAATGGAGTGATTTCTTGAAGCCCCTATTGCATCCCAGACTCTCCTCAGAGCAGAGACCAAAGAGCTCCTGGACTCCACCTGCCGAGGGAACTGGGGTTTTTCTCTCCCACAAAACTGCCCTGGTCCTTTGGTCTCCAAACCCAGCCTCTTAGGAGGTCTAGAGCCCCTCAGCTGAGGTGGGAACATTTTCCCAGCAGCTCTGTGGGGTCAGGCTAGAGCTGGGTATGTCCAGGATGCAGGCCCCAGAGCGGCCCTCTGTCCCTCTCCCCCAGATGCTCCCCGCCTTCCTAAGCAAGTGGGGCTTCTGCCGCGTGCCGGGCTCCCAGGGAGGCCTCCTGGCCTCCACGCCCCAGCTGCTGAGGGGCCCTTGCTCCTCCTAGACTCCGTAGCCACGGTTTGCAGCTCTCTCCCCTACACCCCGTGGACAGGGCACAGGAGCACCCGGGAAGCAGTTAGTTTGACAGGGCTCTGAGGAGGGCAGGGGGAGGGAGGTGCTGGTGGGATACCAGAAAATGGGGCATTAAAAGCCCAGAGGTCAAATGCCAAAAACCCAGACCCTCAGTGATAAGAGACTGGCACAGTGAGGCCCTTTAGAAACATCAGTAAAAATCCGTTCCATGCAAACTGGCACTGCCTCGAGCTACAAAGGATCCACTCCCCAGAATCACCCACTGGGGATTTGTTTGGAGGGGCCGGGAATTCTCTGGGGGCTGCTGAGGGCCAGTCAGCCAGAGAGCTGGGCGCCCGTGCTCAGCCTCCCCCGGCCCCGGCGGGCCTCCAGCAGCCCCCACCTGCCCTCCGGCTGGTGTCCCTTGGTGCCCCTGCCCTGGGGGCGGGCGCGCCTGCCTGGTGTCTCCCTGTTCTGTTTGGTTTTTTAACTTGAGTGCTTTTTGGTATCGTTACAAACGAGCCTCTGTCCTACTTGTGCCTGGTGGGGGGGAACGACAGAAAGAAAACTCGAGATTTTTGAGTGTTGTTGGTTGTTTTCTCCGTTCAGTTTCTTTCTTATTATAACTTGGATTATGAAACTAAACTTTAACCCGAAATTAACCCTGCCTCTCTCCCCACCCCCATTCTCCTTGACTTCATGGCAAGTTTAAAGGGCAGCATGGGGTTCTTTGCGAGTCTGAGAGTGGTCTCCCCATGGCCTGTGCCCCCCCCCACGGACCCCCAGAGCCAGGCGGGAGTCCCACCCACCCACCCCCAACTCCTAACCCCAAACTCCAGAGCCATCTCCAACCACACTTTTTTTTCCAGGATCAGTGGTGTTTTATTTGTAGCCATTTCCATCGGGAGCTAAGTCTCCCAGGGGCCATTCGAGGTCAGCCATGCTCATTGCTGCACTGTTAGTGAATTCTATTCAGGAGCGTGCTCCCAGACCACCTGCCCCACACCAGCCTAGGTTAGTGCAAGGAGTAAATCCTCAACTCCGAGGTGCCTGGCCCCAAGGGTGCAGGCTCGGCCCGGAAGCTACAGGGCACCCCACAGTGCTGCCTGGGGGTCAGGGGCTTGCGGTGAGCCCCAGGGCGACGACTAGACTGTGCCTGCCAAAGTCAGAACACCGCCTGGGCTGGAAGACACCTGCCTCTCTGTAGACAGGGTGGCGCAGCCCCTCACCCCCAACCCCCCACTTTGGACCTGGAGCAGGGTTACAAGGTTGGGGAAGGAAGATCTCTGCCTGTCTTTCTTTTAGTGCATTTTGGCCTGTAAGGACTGTCCCCTCCCTCCCTGGAGAAAATAATCTAGACTCCGAGCCTGGTGAGATGGCCAATTACTTACCTGATGGCCAATTATCTACCTGTTATAGTGGCCCCTTGGTGGCATTTTGGCGAGTATGTGAGAGGGACGGCACACGCTTGTTTGCATTTATGCATCAGCCTAGGCCAGCGGGTGATCACTGAAGGCTGACTGCCCGGTTCTCCCTTCCCCTGCTCCTGCAACCCTTCCCCGCCCCAGTGTCAGCTCCTTGCCAGGGGGTGGGGTGCTCCTTCTGCCCCCCCCCAAGCAAGCAGCCTCAGCTCTTGGAGGGCGTCACAAGTTCAGACGCATCGTCTTCTAGGAAGAAGCTGGTACAGGGAGCCTGTGGTGGAGTACTGACCTTGAGCTTGGTACTCTGCCGACCCTGGCAGGGGACTCCAAATAGTAGGGAACGTGGCCTCCACTCCCCAGGGCCTGGCTGTCAGGCTCGGTCTAGGGATCAGGCGTCCTATGGAGGGCCCTATTTTGCCTTTCATTTTTGTCTAGCTTCACCGCTTTGGTTTTTCTTCCTTCCATATTATGATGTACTAGGGGAGCTTCCTGAGGTAGAAGCACCTGCTGAGGGCTGTGGGGTGGGCAGGGTGGGGGGTTGGGGAAGCAGCTTGGATTTTGCTCAGGTTGGCAACTTGTATCTGTCAGGGCTATGGTGTCAGGGTAGGAGGTCCAGGGGGGCCTTGAGCTCTGCACCCACCTCAGCCAACTCCTCGGGGCCAGCCTGCCCGCCTTTTCCTAATTCACACAGGACCTGAGGTGAGCAGGGCTCAGGTGACCCCCCCGCCAGGGGAGGTCCCTGCGACTCCTAGATAACTTCACTATCAGTGGTCACTTTTCTTTTACCTTCACCCGGTAGTCTGAAATGTCATCTTTTCTTGTGCTCAGTCGAGAGTTTGTTTGTTTATTTTGATCGTATTCATTCAGTTCTGATGGCCTCATCATGTCCCACCCAAACCTAAATCCAGTTTGGTCAACGACCCCCCCACCCCAAAACACACACACAGGGGAGGGAAGTGGTTCGGATTTTCAGGCTCTTTTATTTCTGGGGGACATTACGGGGTGGGTCTGTGTATCAGTCGAAGAGCTTCTGAGCCCCCTGCCCACCCCACCCCCCAGCCCATCTCCGGCCCCAGCCAGGACCCCTTACTGAACTTTATACTTGCCAGCTTTATTCCAGTCTAGTAACATGAGCTCCTGACGGTGGTGGTGAGTGCGAGAGTCATGTTTCTGTTGTCTTTTCTCTTGCTTGGTTGGGGCTGCGGTGAGAGCGTGTCTCTGAGGCATACTTTCCCGCCTCTCTTACACTAGGATCTGCACACCTCCTCTCAAACACTCTTCTGAGCACGCTCAGCGGGAAGGTTTGTCCGCACCTATTAATCCTCTCTCAGTGTCCAGCTTCCTGTTAGTACCAGCTGGTTTGCATGTTTTTGCTTGTTCAGATGAAACAGTTCAAGAAACAAACTCATATCCAACTCTCGAGAAATGTCTTTTTTTGTACACTTTCGTTTTCGATTTTTTTTTTTATTAGTTACAACTCCAAAACACCTGTTGTCCAGTAAAACATTTCACACCCCCCCTGCCTGTTCTTGGAGTGTGTGTCTCTGTGGGACTGAACTAAATGCATGCACTGTAGTGGACGTCCTGGTAGCTGTAGCCCCGGAACATGCATTGTTGACTTGATATTACAGGGTCTCCGACAGCCCGGCACAGCATGGCTGTCTGAGGATAGCGTGGGGGACCAGGAAGAGAGGGGGCTCCATATTTTCAATGTTGCCAAGGGGCTTGGATCCATGTTCTCGCCATCAGCCACCACCACCTCCCCTCACACTCCCTGCTCCCCCAGTCCAGCACTGGGTCACCACCCTCAGCTCTAGCCTGCCTCAGTGAGGTCTCTGTTGCTAGCGTGTCCGGCTCTAGTAAATGAGAACAGAACCAGGTTCGGAAGGAGTCTGACAGTTCTTCCTTGTTCTTGTCCTCTTCATATGGTTCTTGAACAGAGCAGGTCTTTTCTTCTTTCTTAAGGCCCACCGGCAAGGCCTGGTCCAGGCCCTCAACGCCTTGGGTCCTTTGCCAGCTCACATCCAGCCTGTCAAGGGAACAGGTCCGCATGGCAGTCCTGTCTACACACTCTAGTCCCCGGGGAGAAGGGCAAATGAGACATGGTGGGGAAAGGGATTCAGCTCTTGAGGTCCTCAGTCTGCAGACGAGGAATGCATTGGGTCCTAGTGAAGGTTAGCATCTGTTCTTACGGTTGGTGAAGATAAAGGAGAAGCCTTTACTTGTGCTCTCCAAGGAACGGGGCCGGGGGGGTGGGCGGAGGTGGCATCAGAGCGGTGACCTTCCTGGTGCAGAGATTATTGGCACAGCTCCGTGGGGCAGGGACAAGGGAGAAGGGGAACCCCTGACATTCAGAGAGGAGGCCACAGTTTCCCTCCACCTTGCCAGGAAGATTTCCCAGTCCTGCAGCCTCTGCCCTCAGCTCAGGGGCATGGGCAGTCCGTGTCTCTGGACATGCTGTCTCCCCTACATTTGTGGGGACAAACCATAACGGAGTGCTTTTGGAGATGGCCCGAATCTTTACAAGTTGATGGGATGTGAAGTCGTAGTTGCCACTGGGGGACCTGCTCTTTAGACCGGCTGCTTGGTGACTCTGACCTAACGCTTGCAGGAGGACCCGGTGGGGACCTGAGTCTTCAGGGGATAGGTTGTCTCTTGTGGGAGACTGAAGCCCAGGACGTCACAGCGTCC